AGTGATACCTCAGTTTATAAATGCTTTTATTTGCAATTTGGTTCACAAACAAACATTTGGAAAAATTTTGTTTTTATTTGCAAACTCTTCACTGCATGACAAACATGACCATGGCCATTTTCCCCTCACAAACACCAACGTGGCCATTTATAAAATCATAGAACAAATAAGTTCATGAACCAACGTATGGATTTTTATTATCATTATAGTATACACACCATGTGGGCAAAGAATGGTGCTGGGATGAAGAGCAGTGTCTTTTCCCACTGGTAAGAAATTCTGGAAGAAGTGTCTCACACACACACACACACACACACACACACACACACACACACACACAGTCTTACAAACTCCAAACCCAAAGAGAAAAATATCTTAAGTCTGGAATCAATGATTCCAAGATGTAGGAATTGTCTCATGCTTAAAGGCCTTGAGAAACTATGCCATGGACACTACTGTTGCTGTCACCCCCTCTCTTCACCCAGGCCATTCAAGTATACCAGGAGGTTAGAGTTTAATCTCCACTCACTCCAGACATTAGATATACATGTGCACAAGGAAAGAACTGGAGCTAACTCCGCCATATAACTGAGAAGGGCAATATTGGCCGAGAAAGGGGGAAATAAGAACAACCACCAAAGCCCTTGTCACTGGTTCAAGAAAGCAGCAAAGAGATTCACAAAAATTGCTTTGGGTTAAGGGGAAAGACAAGAAGAGATTCTGATGTTTAGATCTGATAAAAATTACAACCAACACCTAGAAAAGAAAAGAATGCCTAAAGGTAAGAACCATAGAGGAGAATCTGTATTAAAGATAACACACAAGATTACACCATATCCATAGAAATATGACAAATATCACACTAAGAGAAAACATGCTAGCCATCATGCTAAGAGAAAGAGGACAAAATAATCAATAGGACACTGTAAAAAAATAATTAAAGGAATAAATACAAAGGATAATGGAAAAAAACATAGCTTGACAAGATTATATGAAGCAATAACCTTTCAGAAACTAGAATTACAGGATTGAAATTGTCAGTTTAAGCGACTGTAACTCGGGCCACAATCAACATTAGAAAATTAATTCCAATTAGGCCTTTGATTATTGATGCTTTTATGATTGGTCTCTTCTTCAATGGTACTTCATTTATATCACTTTGAAATTATTCCTTATCATACCTTTTCATCTGAGCATACTTTCTTATCATCCTGTCATCCTTTCATGTTTTCTAACTTATCTGGATCAACTTCTCCTCCGTGGTCATGGAAATTATCCTTCTGGATACTCCCAAATTCAAAATACACTTCTATAACAACTTCTAGGTAATTGTAATTTTAGTTTATTAAAATTACTATCAAGCATCAAGACTACAATCTCCTTTAATACTTCTACAAGTTTTTGTCCTTCTTTTGAAATCTAGATTTGAAAACTCCTGGAGGACTCTGAGAGACATTTGCAGCCTTGGCTGCATATCCACCCGATATTTGCACTTCGGTAGACATTTGAATCTTTTCCTCAGGTTTGAAGAGAAGATCCATGTGCAAATGCAGTGTCTAGCCAATCTTATTTAGCACACTTTCTGGGGAATAAGGAGTGACCTCCTTGTGCTAACTGGATTTCCAAGGCTTTGAATTAAGTAAGTGAACAAAAATGTGTGGCTCCAGCATGTATTCCTTTCAGAGCTCTTACTGTCTCAGCCTTCATCTCTACATTGGTGGGAATTTAATTCCTGACAAGCCAGTACATGGCCTTTAATTTTCTTTACATCCTGCTATTTTATTTCTTTTTTAAAATTTTTATTACCATACATTTACAGTAAATAAAGACTACATTCATCATAGGAAGTTGGTACAGGTACATAATACATCTCAGAATTCCTTTTTCTTCCTCTTCCTCCCTCTCCTCACCCCCTGGTTACTTCCCCCTTGCGAAAGTTCCATCTCCCTATTTTCTATTATCTTTCATTTGGCTCTTCAATTTATATATATATCTTGGTTTCTCATATAAGAGAAACCATGTGATAGTTAAGTTCACACGCCTGATTTATTTCACTTAACATTAGGGTCCCAAGGTCCGTCCATTTTCCTACAAATGATTCAATGACTTTATGTTCTCTTTGTGTTATAGTTTATATCTAGATGTCACCACTCAGAGTCATGCACTCATAGTCAGGGATAGCAGAAGGCAGTTGACTAAAGGGGCACTACCCTTGGCTTGGAAGTGGAGTCTGGCTGGCAGAGGCAGGTCAGTGGGGGGATGATTGAAAGGGTTCATCTCCCTTACTGCCTTCCCTTCCTCTCACTGGATTTACTGGTCACAGAGCCATGAGCAGCCCTCTTCTACGTAGACTTTCCACCATAGCTTGCTGCCTTGAAGCTGGCCAACAATGGACTAAAAACAAGAGCCAAAATAAACTGCTTCTCTTTTAAATTGTGAGTATTAGGAATTACATCTCAACAGTGAAGAAAGTTGCTAAGACACTATGATATATAAAAATTGTGGGATCATTCTGGGTGTGGTGGTGCATGCTTGTAATCCCAGCACTTGGGAGGCTGAAGCAGGAGGATCACTGTGAGTTTGAGACCAGCCTGGGCTACATAGTGAGTTCCAGGAGAGTCTCAACTACATAGTGAGACCCTGTCTCAAAAACAAATAAACAAACAAACAAAAAAAAACAAAAAAAAAATGTGGGATCAGACAGTAGGAGAAGGCAGGACCTTTTGCTTGCAAGGCAGGTAGCAGAACCACCGAGCTATATCTCCAGACCACCATTCCCACTTTTAGAGCTAAGTTTTTGTCTTTTTGGAAAAAAAAACACAAATAAATATTTATTTTGGGAGATAGTAAGTCTTAATCTATTAGACTGTTACATTTTAATTTGGAAGCTCTAGAATATCTCTGCTTATAAGTGATGTACAGAAACATGGACTGACTAAATTGCCACTTGAGATATATATAGATATAAATACATAGACATATATGTAGATATAATACGTAGATATGATTTTGGCAGCAAAAGCATCTGACTCTGTAAGGTCAGTATTTCTGTTCTAACTTATCTCATACTAGAGAAGGCTTTATTTTTTCTCCTATCCACAATTCAACATTCTACTGTTATCAGTTTCCTAAACTTTAAACACAATAGGAGAGAACAAAATCCACTTCTCAAAGTCTAGCTTTGTGACCTCAAACCAAGGAGAAGATGGCTACAGAGAAGTCGTGATCAAAAACTGAAGTATACAAGTTCAGGTCAACATTACACCATTTGTTAGCTAAGGTAGTCACATAGGTTCTTCATGTCATTGAGTTCGTCTCTTCACTGATAAAACGAGATTAGACGAGATAATATACATAATTAACCTGGCGTATAGTAATTCTCAACTAATACAGTAGTAATTATTAGTTCAATTATGTGCTTACGTTTCTTCTCCATTTTCTGATTTTTCAAAGAAGAAATCCTTTTCAGAACTAGTTAATAGAAATCTCCCTATAGAGGCACAGTTTGCAATAGCTAAAACTTGGAAGCAGCCCATTTTCCCATCAATTGGAGACTGGATAAAGAAGCTGTGTTTTTTCTATAAAATGGAGTACTACTCAGCCATAAAGAATGAGAAATTTGATTCATTCATAGGAAGATGGATACGTATTGAGGATATACTCCTAAGTGAAATAAATAAGTCACACATGTGTAAATACCAAATAGTTTCTCTGGTGTGAAAAATTATAATAGTACATAAGATCCTAATGAGATAACTGGCAATGTGAAATAGGAATAAAAGGACTAAAGGTGTAGGGAAAGTGGGAAGTGTAGGGGAAAGGTAATAAGGGAAAAGAAAAAAATATGAGAAAATGAAAAAATGGAAATAAAGTGTTTATAAATGGGATGGGGAGGAGGGGGTCAAGGGAGGGCAGGGACAAGGGGGAAAAATGAGAACCAAGACCTGTCATGTGAAGGTACAGGATTCCAATAATGAATGTAATTGTACTGTATACCTAAAATGTACCAATAAACTCAATTTAAAAAAAAAGAAATTTCCCTTCCATCCTTTTCATTAGAAAACCAATACATAGTAAATGAAAGGATAGGAATTAAGATCATGATTACTATTATGTCATGTATCCTTTGTTGATAGCATTTCTTTTCTGAATTTATGTTCTGACCAGTACATATATTTGACTTACCAGTGGATATCGTATTTAATTATAAAAATTTGAAAAAGTAATCCATCTGTAGTGCAAATATGATTTCAAACTTGCTTTTTAAAAGATCAGGTTATTTATACTAATAAAACACTTTTAAATTCAAAAATGAAAGCAACTATATCACATTTATGTTGGTATACATTTGCAACACATAATAATTACATTTATCTTGGGGAATTAGTACTTGTGTATATTGGATCATTTTTATTACACCTTCCTTCCCCTCCCCTCCCCTTTCCCCTTTCCAAGCCCTCTTCCCATTTCTACAAAGCCTGCCTCCCTGTTTCTTACAATTTTTCTTTTATTGTTCTCATAAATTTAATTATATTTTGGGTTTCTCATATAAGAGAAACAATGTAATCTTTATCCTTTTATGTCTGATTTATTTCACTTAACATTGTGATCTCAAGCATTATGGTCTCTTAGCATTAGAGATCCATTTTCCTACAAATAACCCAAATTTATCCTGCTTTATGGCTGAGATACATAATGTTCTTAATTTACCATACGTTCTTGAAAGGAAGAATTAATTTTACCTGTTTTATATTAACCTGTCTGCATAGCATGCATTTGTGTCCATTGAGCCTAAAATTACTTCCCTTTGTAGATCAGTAATTTAAATTTAAAATAGTTTGTAGTATCTAAAAACTAGAGGGTCAGGATTTAGCTCAGTGGCACTGCGCCTGCCTCATAAAAAGTAATGTTTGAATGCAAGACATTTTATTATAACTTTTAATCATTTCAATTTCTTTGTTTATAATTAATTCACTTAGCAACAGTAAACACTTACTTACCGGTTGAAACATAAAAGTGTGTTCCGGTTTGACGTGGCACTACCTGTTCTTCGATGGTCTTTCTCAGACCCAAGATTCTTTTTGTCAGGTTGTGGAGGACAAGGTAGGAATACTGTGACTGGCTTCTGAAAAGGATGAGTTGATGGGTGCTGAACATGAATCAGAGGGCTTGTGGACAACACTGGGTAGGAAGCATCTTGCTGTGTTTTTAAATATGCCACCAGAGATGGGTCAACTGGTTGAATCTAAAGAAAGAAATCATACCTGTGTGTGTGTGCGTGTGTGGCAAAGCCAATCTTTTGAAAAATGTTCAGAACATAGTCATACACTTCTCTGTGCATTGCTGGCTAGAAACACGACTTTATATGGGATGTCATCAAAAAATACAGTGAGTATTTAAATTTAAATAATGTATTATAGTAAAAGATACATTACTATTGGTCCCCCTAAAAATATTCTGTCTCATTTTGAACACACTTATCCCATTATATAGTACATATCACTTTCAGGAGCAATTCTGGAAGTCTCCTTGCATAAATGTCTTTAATTGCACTGTCATGGCTGCCTAACTATCCTGAATCAATTCAAAAGATTTACCTTTCATGGTCTTTTTGACTTAGAGAAAGAGCTATAAGTCACATAGTGCCAGATCCAGTTATAAAGGAAAATGAGGACCTTATGGATATTTTTTCCTTCAGCCTGACTTTCTCTGTTGGATGATACTTGAGAGCATCATTTACTATATTTTTTATTTTACTCCATACAAACAAGGACTTACAGAACCGCTTCAAAAAGTAGCAAGAATATTGGATGTGTGTTCAGAGCAAAAGTGAATATTTTGAAAAGGACTAACAGCAATGTGTCTTTTACTGCAATAACACTGCTTTATTTAAAAATATGCCATATTTTTTATCTATCCCTACATGCAGGAATATCATTTGAATCCCTTTTTATGGAATCTTTCTGAAACCTGAGGTCCCTTTCCTGTGTTATAAATAACTGAGAAACACTCTAAATTTTAGACAACAAAATAACCTAGGAAATAAAAGAGACATTTTATGTAATTTCTAATTAGTACTATTTTTAGATCAAGTGATTTTTAGACATTAGAAAAACAAGACTATTTTCTTTCACACAAGAATAGCTAATATTTAAAAATAGCTAACAAAATGTTAAAGTTTATGGGAATATTTATTAGTAAAATGTTCACACTGCACTTTCTTTCTAATCTTTCTGCTTCACTGACCCCTTATGACTGACTACACAGGAGAAAAACAGAAGAGCATAGAGAAAAGTTGAAGCCAGAAAGACAGGGAATATTCCTTGAGGAAATAAAATATACATGAATACACCATTATACACTTTGTAAATAGTGTTTGTGTATATGAAATCTTTACTTCAAAATAGTGAATACATCGTAAATATAACTAAATATCCGTACTCATCAGTATTTTAATCGATTAGCTTTTTGTGCCATCCTCACGGGTGGAAATCATGAGCTACATGAATGTACTAAAGTCTGTCATCAATTGTTTCATAGGCACTCAACATATGCATTTGTCAATAAATATCATAAAACAACATAAATGGCTAGCTAGGAGAATCTTTCAAAGGAAGCGAGGATTTATTTCAGACTGAGAGTCAATGTACTCAAAACCATCACTCCATCATTTATAGCAGTATATGTTCGTCCTTTACAAGTAAAAGAGAAGACTCTATTGCTATATGAAATATTTGGTTCCTCTTTGGCCTTTGGGACCATGCAGGATGACTTACATCTAGGAGAAGAACCCAGTCAATGTGTAATATTTACCTTTAATTGTACCAGCACTGGTGAGCTGAAAACTCCTGGAGGGTAAGATAAGGATATTCGGGAATCTATGCTGGACTTCAGGGTGAGACCTTTCTTTGTTACTGTGAAAGACTCTTTCTTTAAACAAGACATGACAGAAAAGATACCCAGTTTGTAAACTTTCACTGCTGCACAGGTCCCCTGTATGGGTTAAAGGACGTTAAAGCAAGTTACAGCAATACTTTGGGGAATACATGCTATATACACTCCATAAACAGTTTTTTGAAAACCCACATGCTATCAGTATAATCACTCACAATTTGGAATGAGCCCATTATGAAAATGCATGATCCTGTCATAAAATATAGAAGAAGTAGATTACTAAGAGGTCCACAAATTTACACCACATGATGGAAAAAAAGAGAAAGAAATGTATTTTAAAATAAAGTTAAATTCCACAGATGTATGGGTATAGTGGGAAATTATATTCAATGTTTTCACAAATATTAATTATGGACTCCTGGACTACTTTAACTAGAATGGACTTTTTTTTCAGCTTTAATTGAGCTTATTGGTACATTTTAAGTACACAGTACAGTTACATTCATCATTGGGATCTTGTACCTCTACATGACAGGTCTTGGTTCTCATTTTTTCCCCTTGTCCCTGCCCTCCCTTCACCCCCTCCTCCCCTCCCCATCTACAAACACTTTATTTCCATCTTTTCATTATCTCACATTTTTTCTTTTCCCTTATTACCCTTCCCCTACCCGTCCCACCTTCCCTACACCTTTAGCCCCTTTCTTCCCATTTCACAATGTCAGTAATCTTATTAGGATCTTATGTACTATAGAATGGATCTTTAATATAGATCTTTATCCAGAATATTCAACAGTATTTTATAGAATTCGTTATTTGGATAGTTTATATTCAAATGCCACAGCAACTGTACTGTCAGCAAATTCTTCTTCCAATAGCTTACAATCTTCTAGGGTGCCAAAATAAGGTCTATTTCTCCTGTGCAGTGGGAAAAGATGACTTCAGAGAGACACATTTGTGTTTCTCTTTTATATAGTGATATTCAAATATGTAATCTTACATGCAGGCACATATTCAAACTTTTTTATTCACACAAAAGAGAACTGAGTACATAAATGAAAACAAAATGATCTACTAGTATAATCACCAAAGCTTAAAATCAGGAGGCAGACTTAAGAGTAATTTGGTCTATTCATGCTTCCCCAAACACCAGCCAGACTCCACCCCAGCATGAGTGGATAATCATGCAGACACACACACACAAACATTTAGGGACAATCACAATGGAAAATAATCTTTCATTTGAAAGCTGACTAAGGAAGATATTTCACAATATCATGGCGTGAATTTGTGTCTGGGAAAATTCAGGGCATGATGAATGTTCTTAATTGGCCAGGGGGAAAATGGTAAGACTTGAGAAAGGGCAGCTTCCTGAGAACCAGTGTGGTTGCGGAACACTGAAAGCACATTCCACAGATATTGGGGAACCAAAAGTGTTTTTAAAGAATTAGAATGTTTAAATGTCACAGGCTCACACAAAGATTTGGAAGGGATCCAGATCTTAAATTCTCTTGATCTAAAATTACGATAGCTACCATATTATTAAAAAGAGAAAAGTCCATACTATTATTTTTTACAATAGCCAATAAATCTCTTAATTTTTCTTTTGATTTGATTATCCATTTACTAAATATTTCTCAAATCCATTTGTGAAAAACGTGTGCTGCGAGCAGCTTTTACTCTTACTGTGGTGATCACACAGACTACACAAGATTAAAGAGCCCAATCATGAGCAGTGTTGATTAGGTTTTTATGTTTCCAGACTTCCTGGACTAAATGTGAAATGGACTTCTTGCATAAAGTAGAGGGAATTCGGCTTAGCTTTCTTTTTCAACTCTATGATATCTGGTCTGTGATATGAAAAGGACAAAATTCAGAAAAGGAAGGGATTTATTATAAAGAATTTTTTTTTAGATTTTATTTCCTGGCTTCCACATCAAATAAGAAAGTCCTACTTATAGTTGAAAAAATGAATTAATTGGTTAAAACTAATTTCAGTGTCCTTTCAAAGAACCTTAAATATTAGTTCATATCAGATCAACCCTATAGCACTAAAATTTCATATTATTATTGTGTGACCATAGAAAGCCTCAGAGTTATGACAATAAAGTCTAACATAAAAATATTTTATTATAACTACTGTTTATAGGCTTCCTTATCTTCTTAAGCATGTTATCCATTTAATTCTTGCAACCTTATCCAGTAAACAGTCTCTGTGCTCATTTTTTTAGAAAGTTACAGCAAAGTTCATTCCTCTGCCCAACTTCACACTGCAAAACATGTAAACCCCACCAATCTTCCTCCACTGCCCACATCCTGACCACCACATATACTATCTTCCATGTGCATATTGAATTCTATCTGTAGACCTATAATTATTTCTTAAATATTTGCCAACCTATAGATAATAAAAATAAGCTTACTGTCACCTGGAACTTCTAACATTCTAAATTTAGGATTCCTCCACAGTAAATATATTATTCCACAACACTTAAAGCATAAAATTAAGCCATGATATTGGCTTTGTTTCTCAGGTGAATAATTAATATTTTATGGGGTCCTGGAACCAAGTTCTCCATTCCCAACTTTAGGAAATAAATCCTACTCTTTGATCTTTCTAAATGGCAAAACAAACAAACAAACAAACACCCCACAAAGGTGCTAACACAAATCTACCAAACCTTTCTTTTGTTACCAATGAAGTAATTATATCTACATTATAATCTAGTTATTGAATACTCAGAAAAGAGCCAAACAGCAAATGCAGATGTAGCCAAGGATTTGCAGACCTTATGACCTCTCATTCCTTCCACTGAAGTTGGGGATAGGTAACTTGATTGAAGGTTTACATCAGACACTTTCACCATGATGTCTCTGTAATTTCCCCTGGAACGGGCGGTAAATGGAATCACAATGCAAATTGGAAATGGAATTCTCTTTTCCTTATCTGAGCTTTCAACAGAGACAACATTGCTGACCAATTCCTCATTATCAGTCACAATTAAAGAACTCATGCTATTAATTATCCGGCATTCTAGATGCTGCAAAACGTATGATGGTGCTGTAATGTAACAAGCCACTTGGGGGTCTGTCCCATCACTCAGTACATCGAGATACCTGCAGGAAAGGGTGAACAACATTTTCCCAGTTATTTAGTTATCATATTTATGTGCTTTACAGCTAAATGCAAAAGGACACAGGCTCTAGAACACCTTATCTTGGTGTGCTCAGTTTTCTCACTTATTGACCCTGTAAGCTTGGGCATGATATTCAATCTCTCTATGCCTCAGTTTCCTCAATTGTAATATGGTGATAAAATAATATCTACCTCAAGGAGAGCTGAGAAATAAGCGAACAATTGTATTTTAAGTAAATAGAAGGTTCTATGCCTGGTATATAGCGGCATCATGCTAGAAGTTTAGCTATAACTATTGTTTACTATTATTATTTAAGCAATTGCCTTTTTCCTTACTATTGTTCACTCCACAAAAGAATGTGAAAATCACTGATGTGTCTTAATGAAACAAGTATTAATATCTAAATAGTTTCTTAAATTGTGAGGAGAGTGAGAAATCATATATGAGGTATTGGAATTTTGTAAACACACTAAGTCAAATGATGATGCTTTGTATTTTGTAGAAAAGCTAAGAAAGGTACAAAATACTGTTAATTTAAATTTATTGATAGTAATTAAGATTAAATTATTTACGACCTTCAACTGATCATGACAAAATCTAATTTTGACTATTTATATTACTCATTTTAACATTCATCTTTGCTGAAGATCTTATAACTTCAATAGATACTTGAAAACAGACATTTCTGAGTTGTTTGATGATATATTAATAATTATTAGAAAATAGCTAATATTTTATTTTTATTTTTTAAATTCATTACATTTATCAGTGCATTTTAGATATACATTATGATCACATTCATCATTGGGAATTCATACCAATACATAGTATATCTCGATACTTGTCTTTTCCCTTTTCCCCTTCCACCTTCCCTTCCTAAAAAAACTTTGTTTCCATTATTTCCTTCTTTTCTCATACTTTTTGCTTTCCTTTCTTTCCTTTTCTGTACTCCCTTACCCCTTGGACCTTTTCTTTCTGAAAATGACTGATATTTTAAAGCTTTGTGTGGACTTGGTTTGGGTTTTATATTTCATTTAATTTTTACAACTAATGTGTCAGTCAGACGTTACTGTTATCATCACCTTACAGTTGAGAAAAGTGAAGCTTAGAAAATTTTAAGTTCAGGGCTGAAGGTATAATGCAGTGGTAGAGTCTCTACCTAATTTACATTAAGAACTGGATTCAATATCCGGCACTGCAAAGAAGAAAAAGAAAATTTAGCTCACTACAAATCCAAAGATGGTAAATTTTAGAACCAATAACTGGCTTCTTCTGTCTTCTTTGTGTGTGCGTATGACTATTTTTTTTTCAATTTTCCACATGCATTTATCGTGTCATAACTACAATATTAATGAACATCTATGTATTGTAGCTTCACTAAACTTGAGTTATAATTTTTTTCTCTCATTGAGTTTATTGGTACATTTTAGGTATACAGTACAGTTACATTTATCATTGGAATCTTGTACCTTTACATGACAGATCTTGTGTTTGTTTGGCTGATGATTGGTTTGTGGGTTGACTGGTTGGTTTTGTGGCCATCAGGCTGAAACCTAGGACCTCTCACATCATAAGCAAGCTCTCTACCACTGAGCTACATCCTCAGGCCTTTTTTAGAAGTTTATTTTGAAATGGAGTTTCATTATATTGCTGGCCTAGAATTTGTGATGCTCCTACCTCAGCCTTCCTAGTAACTAGGATTACAGGCATGTTCCACATGCTAAGCCCTTTATCAATCTATTTTTAATGTGAAAGGTCCAATCTGTCAAATATTTTACTCCTGCAAATAACTTTCAGGTACTTACTAACTCCATTATAAGTGGAAACTAATTATCTAACCTATACTCATACAATCCATACTCATATAAATATACAAAGATGGACTGAAGAAGATAGGCTTCTTATAGTAATGTATTACGTTGGGTGCTAAAAAAATGTTAGGTCTACACATTAAAATTATGGATTGGAGTTTATCCTCTTCTTTCTGCTTCTCCTTTCATACCAGGGACTGAAAATGACTGAAATATGGACAATGTTGAGAAACAGAGATCTATATTTCTCCACAGCATTGTTTTCAGTTATAAAATAATCATTTTTTAACTATTTTCCCAACAGTATTTTAAAACGTGCTTTAACATAAAAATCTACAATAAAAATGTGGAAATTATAGAAGGAGCCACTGATTTATATTAACAAGAAAGACAAACAATAGAAAATTACCCAGTACAGTGATCTGCTGGTATATTCTTATGATAATGGGAATCAGAAAATGAGAAGCACAATTTGGTAGAGGGCACAGTGACCCAGCTTTTGTAACTTCGGGAGTGGCTCTCCTCTAGGTACTGGAAGCCACTTCAAAACCCTCCTCTTTTTGAAGCTCTGGTTCCCAATTGACAAATACAGTAGAATGAGGAGACCTGCAAATAATTCTATTCTCCCAGCCCTAATCAAATATATCCAGTCTACTCAGTGATATAATTACATTAGTTTATTCCAGTCTTTGCCCCTTTGTGTATAAACTCAGACACATATACTGAAGGAGATGCGGTGATTTTGGAAGGCTAACTATGGTGGAGCCACAACAGATTCTGAGCAAGGTTTTGTTTATGACATATACATTTTATGTGGCATGATGGCTTCCTGGCCTAGGTGATTTCAGTGAACAGTCATCTTCTTAAATATGCAAGCCCAGCACAACTGATTTGGATGTCACAAAGAGGAAATCACTAGCAGCAGGGAACGCCTGGAAGAGGTGTTAGAGGGAGTGGTTCAGGCAATGACTCACTAGCATGTTTTGAGTCACTTCTGAATGTGAGGATATAGTGTCAGTGTTTTACTCAAGTGAAATGGGTGACCACATATTGACTACTTTAGCACTTCTTTTGCTAAGTGGAGGTCTTTTATATAATGAAAGACTGATCCTTTGAATTCGTCATATTCTCTAGCCTATAAAGAAATCACAATGAAGCTAGCCCAAACACTTCATTTTATAAATAACTAAGATCAATGTGAGAAAAATGATTTGCCAAAGATCACAGACTGAGTGATATTGTCCTGAAAATGATATTATGTGTTTATGTAAAAGAGCATCAGTCCCTCACAGCAAAGAAGGAGGTAGTTGAAGAATGGTACTGAGTGCGATGTGAGGGAAGTGATTATTGCTGGGGCTGAAATAAACTATCACGTTAACATTTAGCAGAGCATGGATACTCTCTCAGTGGCACAGTATTAGGCTTTTTTCATGATTTTCTCATGTGACCTTACCAAATACTCTAGGGAGAATATATTATTTCCACAAACAAAAAACACGAGGCTAACAAATGAAGCAAGTTTCCCAGGGCCACCAAAGTACCAGATAAAAAACAAAACAAACAAACAAAAAAACAAAGATTGACTTAGGAGTATATCTTCAATATGTATCCATTTTCCTATGAATGAATCTAATTTCTCATTCTTTATGGCTGAATAGTCCCAATGATGAAAGTAACTGAACTGTATACCTAAAATGTACCAATAAACTCAGTGAGAGAGAAAAAAAAAACAAAGATTGAGTTTGTCTGACTCCCAAAACAAATGACTCCCCCATCCTAGTTCCTCATTGTCTTTGAAAGGTATTATGTTTATCTAGGAAAATGTGGTTTGTGAAAATTTCATATACCGTATTATCTGAACAAATAGAGGATTATCACCCTTTAATAAAGGAGAAATAATTCATGAAATATATCAGTCTTTCTCCTTTTTTCAAGTCTTGTTCAAAATAAGAACCAAGATGTATTATGTAAAGGTGAAAATTTCCCATGATGAAAGCCATTATATTGTAATAATTTAAATGTACCAATAAAATCAATTTAAAAAAAAGAATCTGTAAGAACTCTGGACATTTTCCAAGGAGATAAAATAGGTATGGACATATGTATTCAGCTTTAGGAATCTCCTGGAACTTATCAATGAGCCCCTAAAATTTTAAAGACAAAGATTAGAAATTCATGATGATTTTCTTGAGATTATAAATAACATAAAAATTATCTTAATATTTTAACATTCTAAAGTCTCAGTTTTTACTTATATAATTCAGAAAGTATTGGTTTAGACGTGTCCATTGTCTGAACAATTGTTTTTAACTACTTTCTCATCTAATTCTTTCCAGCTTTAATATATTCATTTCCTAAAACCATTAGCAATAGTAATCACAAATTTCAAAGGGTAATTTAACCTGAATCACTGACTTACAATATCTTTTGTAATATTTTTATAACATGGCAATATAAAATTTTATTCATGCATGAATACTATTTATTTTATTAATGTATACTGTGGTGATTGAATGCTTGTGTTCTCCCAAAATATTTATGTTGTAATTTTACCCCTAAAGTGATGGTATTAGGATGTGGGGCCTTTTCAGAGGTATTAGGACATAAATGCAGGCTTTTTTAATGGATTAGTGACCTTATAAAATAGGAACAAGGGAGTTTTTCCTCCTACCACCATGTGAAGACACTGTAAGGTATTATTTCTGACCTAGAACCCTCACTTGACACAGAATTTACCAATTATCTTGGTTTTCTCTGACCACAGAACAGTGAGAAATTATTGTTTAAAAGCCACCTAGTTCAGGGTATTTTGTTATAGAAGCCTGAACAACTAAGATATCTACAAACATTGCAACACCCTACCATTAATCATATAAAAGTACTTCTCACACTGTATTTACTTACTCCTTTTCCATGATGTTATTCTTTTGTTTCAGACTTTCTGAGTCGTTGAGATTATTCACATATTCATAGGAGATCTCACATGTTGAGGATGTGGTAATCTCCTCTCTTTGATTCTCTGAGTTCTCTTTAATGTCTCTTTCTGTTGTCTGGATTATGTCATGAATCTGTTCCTTGTTGCTAGTTATGTTCTCAGCGGTCATGTGTTCTATTTGTTTATCATCATCTCCATTTTCTGCATTATCTGGGAACATTGTGTTCTGTGACTCTTCTTGCCCTGTTACATTTCTGGTCAATGATGTGTTGTTTTCTTTTTCTACCAATACAGAATTTATATGCGTTTTATTTTTTTTTAACTGGACCTGGTTTGTGTAATGACTTTTCTCTCCATTTGTACAAGAAACAGTAGCTGTTTCTATGACATTTAGTTCCCCTCCTGCAGCAATGCCTGTTGCTTTGGTGTCTTGAATGGTGTACTTTGTCTGTTGTGGAGCATGTTCATCACACATGCTGCATAAATTACACATCTCCTTTTCTTCTTTCTTTAGAAGCATAGCAGTGTTCCCCAAATGTTCATTCATTTTCATGAGGCAGTCTATGAAAGTAATAATTTCTACACATACACATACACACACAAAGAAAAAGAACAAAACTGAACCAAATTATACAATTACATTGCCACATAATGAGTTATGGCAAAACAATTTTGAAAATTTACTGGACATTTAAGCCAACCTCCTGAAGCAAAAACCATTTATACAATTGACACTTTTTTAATTTCTAGGAATTGTGAACAAACTACTTATTAACATAATAGCAGAGAGTAAATCTGATTCCTACTGCTCTTGAAAATGCTTTGAATTTTGTATCAGATATATATCATGATCCCTCCTCCCCAATAAAAACTGAAGTCTGAATCTCTATCAGTCATTCTTCATTTGATGTGATTTTAAGTGTTGGTCCTTTACCTCTGGAAATACTACACTTTATCAATTAAAAAAATCTGGGCCTAGAATTAGCTGAACACTCCAAAGAGGCCTAGGCAGCTGAAGTACGTCAGCTACCTTATTTCTGCTGATAGAAATTATATATTTGGGGAGAGGGACAACATGCTTCTCTGAAGATTAGACAACTTGTGATTGTTAGAAATCTTCAAATTAGCCTTTCAGAGGGTAGGTGTAATCACACCCATTCTGCACCTGCAGCCACGTATCAAGAACGACAAGACGAAGCCAAGCCTGTGTCCTCCGACAGGATCTGATCTGGTGTGGTCTGTTGCTCTAACCCTATTTCATACCATTCGCCCATATATGTATGCATCCTTATTCTCACGAGTGAGCAGGGTCATGTGACAACTTCTTGCTGGCTTAGAACCTCTGCAATCTTTAAAATTCAATTAGAAACTAAGGAATCTATGATTCAAGGCCCCATGGCTCAGTGTTTTTTTAGAATCATCAGCAAGTCATACTTTGAATAGTCCAAGCTTGTCTTTGGGCTCCACTTCTGACAACTTGCTATTTGTCTTCTACCCAAGACTGCCTTTTAAAAAGAATTCTCATTTTCTGGTAGCTGAGTACTTATCTTGAACAGCTGCATAGGGCCATGTTTGATTCTCTTCAGAGGCTAGAGGTCTGGTTATGAGCTCCAGCAGATGCCTCCTGAGTCCTACTGCTTTTGGACCAATTTCTCTGAGGTGTACTCTTTGTCCTTTAGACAGCAATATCCTAATAGTACTTACTTTGGATTCCAGATCGATGTGCCCTGCCCACCCACTTTGACACTGTATTATTTAGAGTTGACTTTCATGATGCCACCATATTCCTATCTGGAGAAACCATTGTTTTGTAAGATCATATTCATCAGATATGCATTACTGTATTTTGCAACATAAGTGGGCTTATTCTGAAGAACTTGCCACCTCTTTACGGGGGATCTAATTTTCTATCCCAGCCCATCTACTCTGCTTAGTACTGTTGTAATTAATAGGTTCATGCTTAAATGACTCTAGAGATGGAGTATTATTCTCCAATATTTTTAAAAATTGCTTATTCTATCTCAGACTAGGCCTACATCATTTCCCTACCTCTAAGCCTTGGGTCCCACTAATAATATCTCAAGATTCTCATTCTGTAAGCCTCACTTTAAATAGAAAACATATTTTTTCTAGCAAAATTCTGAATTCTCCACCCTAAATACGGGATCCTGCCTGCTTCCAAAGTCAGAAAGAACCTCATTCGTGTTTTTCTAATGGGACTGGCCCCAAAGCTCCTTGCATTACTGTGTGTGGGTGCGTCTTGCCTTACTTTCTTTACTGCACCATTAGTCCTTGTAAACAGAGATTGGTTTGAAAGCACATAGCACCTCTCAGATATTGCCTCAATCAATATATCTCAGAAAAAGGATAAACCAAAAGTACTTGCCTTGTCTCCAGATACACTGATTCTCCTTGTCCAGCAGTATGTGCAGCTGCTGGCAGGTGAAACGCAGAGTCCCTGCAGTGTGCTCCAGCAGCTGTTGAAGGGCACTGCCCAGCTCTTGACCCAGAAAGACCACTGTGGCTATCCAGCTGGCTCCAGCAGCCCCCTCACAAAGGTGCTCACCCAGAAGTGCCTGCTTTAACATTTGGTTTTGTCTCCAAACCTGCTTCAGTATTTGGCCTAGTTTACCTGAGCCCATGTCTTCTGTATCCATTTTGTGCTCCCAAAATAATGTGTTTCTTTTCTGCCTGCAAAGACTAAAGGTTTAGCAAATTCAAATTTTGCCAGGGTTATTTCTCCAAAAATCTAGGAGATGATCCAAGTCAGCTAGCCAAGCACTTTCCTGCAACATAATAGTTTATTCAGCTTGTTGTTGACCAGTGAAAAGTTACTAGGTGACCAAAGGAGGGGCGTTCCTGAAGCCTGGTTGCTACTGTGCACAGAGGATTAACCACAGGGATAGAGCTAGCTCACAGAATCCACCTCTCCATGCAAGCTTTACAAATTCAGTATAATATTTATATCCCAGATACTTTTCATATTTGAAGGCAACAAAATATGGATTCCAGGTAGAATGAGAAATTTATCCAAAGGTAAACTGTTTATAATTCCTGTATACATATTTAAAAATACTTACCAATAAAGTAATACAAAATTTGGTTTGATTCAAAATAATCAGGGCAGGGGGAGTTACACACCTGTAATCCAAGCACTTGGGAGGCTGAGGCAGGAGGGTCACTATCATTGTAGGCCAGCCTGGGCTACGTAGTGAGTTCAAGGCCAGATTAAATTGTATGGCAATACCTTGCCTCAAGTAATCATCATCATCATCATCATCATCATCATCATCATCATCATCCCAGGGGTAGGAGAGGGTACTGATAAAATTAGCTTTGCTATAAAATTTAATAATTGTTAGCCATACACAGTGATGCATGCATGCAATCACTGCTACTCAGAAGGCTGAGGCAGGAGAATCACAATTTGAGACTACCTGAGTAACTTAACGAGATTTTGTGTTAAAAATAAAAAGCATTAGAGATGTAGCTCAGAGGTAGTTTTCTTACTTTACCCTGTGAAGCACTGGGTTCAATACCCACTGTAAAAAACCTTTGTTCAAGCTTGATATAATTACAGTATGGAGTCTTTATATTTCATTGTAAGTAGTGCATATTTATAATTTTTAATAGTAAAGAATTAAAAGGAAAAAGATTCCTCTACTGAAACAGAGAGGTATTACTATTGTTATTGCTCAGTAAGTATAATTTAACTAGTATCTTCTTACATTGTAAGTCTGCAGTGAGGTTGCAATAGGAACCGGGCTCCTTTACTCTTTGATAGTTTCCCATTAATTGGACAAAGTGCTTCCTTAGTAAAAGAAAGCAAAATTGAAGAGGGCTTTCTCTGAACTAGCAAGAAGACTTTATTCTAACTAAAATTCCAATACAGCAAACTCTCCCCACATAGCTGCCTGCTCACTGGGACACACTGTATGTGGGGACATTGCAGTACATGAGCTCATGGAGGGGTCCCCGGGTGTAGAGTGGAGCAGCTTGCATCCCCTTCTCCAATGCTCCTCTAGTAAGGAGGGTGAATTCCCACCAAGGGACAGGGCCTTGCATTCCAAAGAGGCTCCTTCCTGCTCCCACAGAGACGCTGGAAAGAAAGGACAGCTCTCCAGAGGGGCAAGAGGGCTTCCCTCCCCCAGGCAGTGCATTACCTCCTTTTAGGCAGTGGAATTTAGACTATGATTGTGACACCTGAAAGAGGAGGTAGAAACAACAAGCACAAGAAATAAAGGAGAAAAGTGAAATCACAGGCTTATAAACCATCCAAACTGCCTCTGTTCCAGAGTCCGAAAGACAAGGATAAGAGCAGCGTGGAGACTGCTGGGTACAGAGTGCCATGGAGAATCATTTTCTACTAAAATTGATGGTTTTCAATGATTCACTGCAAAAAAAAACCTTTTAAAAATATGTTTTTAAAATATGTTTTAAAAAACCTTTTTAAAAATATGAGTCCCTATCAAATCATAGATCACATTTTAAAAATTATTTTCAATTGCTTCTCAATATTAAAAACTTTTTTCCATTTTATTTTCTCTAACTCCTGAAACATGTGCAATTCTCAAAAAAATGTACAGATGGCTTTAATTCAATTTTCATTTTGAAAACTTTCTACAGAATTTACTGTGAGCCAGGCACTATTTAAATACTGGGGTAGCACCTTTTAGGACTACAGAGACAGACAAGTGTACGAGCACACTATTAAAATATAGCTTGGACTGTTGCAAGGTAGAGAAAAGCACACATGATACACAAAGTGTATCATGAAAGCTTTAGGAATAAAAAATTAACTCTGATTAGAGGCTCAGGAGAAGTTAGATTAGGATCTAAAGGATGAGCAGGTTTAGTGCTAGCTAGAGAATTCAGGGATGGAACAGACATTCCAGCATAAGAAGTAATATAGGCATAGCAAATGAATGAAATTACACAAGATCAAAAAAAGGGAAAGTACGGCTTTATAGGAAGGTTTTTTTTCATGAGTCAGGAGAAATGGCAAGAGAGGAGTCCAGTAATTGTGCAGTTACAAATAAGAGTTAGAATTTTGCTTTGCTGACAGGAGGAAAAATAATATTTTTGAATTAAGTTACAGTATGACTGGATCTGTGTTCAGGAATTCCCAGGGCTTAGAGGTCAGAAACACAAGAGTTGGGAGGCTGGAAGGCCTAATGTTGCAACAGTGAAGGCAGGAGAAAGGGACAACTTGAGAGGGGACTTGAAGTAGGTGGTTCTAAAGGTTAGGGTTACCTGCCTTGCAAGTGCAAGGACCCAAGTTCAATCCCTGGTACCAAAAATAAATAAATAGATAAATAGATAGATAGATAGATAGATAGATAGATAGATAGATAAATGTTAGGGTTAAAAGGGATGAATAGAAAGCATTGAAAACTCAAGCTTTCCTGTATTTCAGAAATCTATACTGGCCACTAGTAACCATGCTTGGTAGTAGAATATAACTACATTTTTGTAACTGCATAGGTGGTAAACATGTTAAAGTATTTAGGAGAAACATTAGGTTTGGTGGGCAGATAATGTGATTAATTTTAGGTGTGTTGAGTTCAAGAGCACTCAGGACACTTCTTTAGAATGTATTAGAAACTCAGAAGAAAAGTCAAGATAGTATTGGCATATTTGAATATCACCAGCAAAAAAGGTGGAATAAAAAAGATCCCTGGAGGTAGAAGAGATTATAGGACTTACATATCAAACATTCAATGAAACTGATAATGAAATGCTGGGTCACTGAACCAATCTATACTAATTTTCCTATAGATATGAGGGAAAAAATCTTTTGTCATGGAGGAAAAAAACAAAAATCCAAATCTTTTTTCCATAGTTTCAATAACATTTGCTATTCTCAAGCCTAAACTTGTTCCCTTTCTAGCTTAGGAACATGCAATATCTGCAAAATAAGACCTACAGCAGGCTACGCTGCCTCTACATGTTAAAACAAGCATTTACATGTTCCTGTATCTTGTTTTCAATTAACTAACATCACTAACCACAAGAAGAACTGACATTTGAAATTAAGAAGCCCAAAGAGTTTAACTGCAAAAGTTCATCTGGATGGTTTCAACATTGAGCCTTCATTATTGCTACTAGTTAGGGTAGCAACATTTTGTGCGCCCTCTGACATTAATGGAATTAGCACATAGTCTTGAACTCATACAAATATTATGTGGTTAAAAAGACAACAGTTCTTAGCATTAAAAGTATCAAAATGGACTAGATATAAAATTGAGTTTAAGTAAGATAGTCGCTTATTTATTACCTAAAAATATAAAACTCTCTTAACATTAAAAGTATCAAAATGGGATAGATATAAAATTGAGTTTAAGTAAGATAGTCATTTATTCATTACCTAAAGATATAAAACTCTAATAGATTGGATAATCAACTGATGCTAAACAAGAGGGGATGGAAGTGAAGTTTTGAAGTGTAGTAAAATGTAGTATTTTTCATAAGGTGTTTGGTAGATACATCAGAGACCAGACATAAGCAAAAGTTATGTATGTATTATGCTTGAGGCACTATGACTAAGAATCAGTGTTATTCATTCTATTATCTGATCTTGTTATTTTCTTCTGCATCAAAGATATTGGGGCAGACAGCCCAAAACAATTTTGCCTCATTTGAAAACTTCTATTGAATGTCTTTTCTTTTGTCTTTCTAAGGCAACTTCATACAACTGGAAGGGTAGAACATAAAGAAAAAAAAATGTTTGTTTTGTTGTTTTTTCCCCTTATAACTTAGTGCACTGGAAAGATATAAATTAAATATAAGAAATGCTAATGTACTTATCAGTTTTAAAATGTTTTGAAAGAGCAAATAGTAAAAATTCAAAGGTAGCCCCTCCAGTTAAAATATAGATGGATATGTATTTTTTATCTCTGATTCCTCTTCTTCCTGAAATACCACTGAAAAAGATAAAACAGTATATAAACTCTAGAGGACAAAGAGTCATAAGAACAGATAAGAGATGTCAACAGACACCAGGAAGATTGAAGGCAGATGGTAACTGTTTTGATAAACAGTGAGAATTGAAATCTAAATTCATAAATTGTGGAAAATCGTCCAGGTCTTGCTATGGAATCTCAGACGATCACGTAATTAGGAAAATCTAGCAATTCTGAGCATGAGAGTGAACTTGAGGCTATAAATTGAATTTTTCCTTGTGACTTTGTTTTGGAAATAGGTAGATTTCTACGCTCATGATGGTTCCCAACTGCGTATCTTCCACCCCTCTAATCTCGTAATATTCTCTATGAAGAAACTGCAGCAGGAAGGCAGGTAGTTTGGGATGAGCAGAACAGGAGGGAAGCAGCTGCAAGATCTTAAGCGTTAAGAGGAAATCTACAGTTTTATACAATAAGGATCTATTCTACTCTGCTCAGCTCAGAGAACACAGGCTGACATGCATAATCTCCTAGGCCTAACACTGGCTATTCTCTCTCTAGAACAAACAAATAAACAAACAAAACATCCCAACTGTTTGTGAATCATTGGAGTGTCTCCCCTCCTCCCTGCACCTCAAAGTCTGCCCCACCCAGGCAGATCGTCTTACAATGCACCTCCTAGTCATAAGCCGCATCTGTGCATTACAGCTTCCAAACAGTGCTTCTAATGCCTCACTTGTAAGTATAGAGTAACAGCCAAAGAGGTCAGCATTTGAAAAGCCTCTAAAATAAAGATGG